ACCTTTGTAGATCAAGTGGCAGTTGAACTTTCCCATTACTTTCTAACAAATTCTGAGGGGGAGACCCCTGATGTCATGGTATGGTCGGCACACAAAGCTGTAGTAAGAGGCCTGTTTATTAGACGCTCCTCATACCTTAAAAAGAAAAACAAACAATTGACTATAATGGACTGCCAAAAACAATTGGCAATTATCACTGCCCAAAATAAGCAGACACCTTCACACACTCTCGCACAACAAATCCAAACCCTAACTGACAAACTTACCGAAATGCACGCAGCCAAAACGTCCTACTTCTTACTTAAACTGAAAGCGACTCATTACCACCACAGTGGGAAAGCTAATAAACAATTAGCTAATAGGTTGAGAGAGAAATTGGCGGCCGCCAAAGTAGCATACATACAGGGCGCGGACGGTACTAAACTACAAAACCCATTAGATATTACTCAGGAGTTTGCAAAATACTTCTCCGACCTGTACAATCTAGGAGACAAACCCGAAATCCCCCCCATAAAAGACGACAACATTGCAGAGTTTCTGTCCCACCTTCACCTCCCACGAATTAATTAATCCCACTTGGATCTATTACTCCAACCTATTACACTGCGGGAGGTGCTCCATACGATACAACACCTTCCCCCAGGCAAATCCCCAGGAGCAGATGGCCTCCCCAACCTGTATTACAAGACATTTGCGGAGGTACTGGGTCCCAGATTAGTTAAAGTGTTCCAGGCAGCCTCAGAGAAAGGGGAGCTTCCTTCCGAAATGCTACTCGCGACCATAGTTACGCTGCCAAAGCCAGGAAAGCCCCCAGATCAATGTAAGAATTTCAGGCCAATATCCCTGCTAAATACGGATGCTAAGATATACGCAAAGATCTTGGCCTCCAGATTGGGCAAAATACTACCCTCAATCATCCATGACGACCAAACGGGGTTTGTGATGGGGAGGCAGGGACTCGATAATACCTGGAAACTGTCCCTGCTCATGGAGCAGATGCGGAGGTCTGGCCCAGGTGGGTTGCTCTTAGCCTTAGATGCTGAAAAAACGTTCGACTGCCTGGGCTGGCCCTTCCTACGGCAAGTTCTCTCAGTGTTTGGGTTCCCACAACAGTTCATTCAACAGGTATTCGCTCTATATTGCCACCCTAGGGCCCAGGTGCTACAGGCTGGATTTAAATCAGATCCATTCAAAATCACGAATGGCACCCGACAGGGATGCCCTTTGTCACCCCTGTTGTACGTGCTGGCCTTGGAGCCGCTACTAGTTGCCATCAGATCACACCCAGACATAAAAGGCATCATCTGGCAGGACCAGCACATCAAGATCAGCGCATTTGCTGACGATATCCTGCTATATGTCTGTCAACCAGATAAATCCCTCCCTCACATCATGAATCTCATTGACAAATATGGGAAACTCTCCTACTATTCCCTAAACGCAACCAAAACTCAGGCATTGGGGCTGCGCTTGGACCCACAGGTCCTAGCGCAACTACGCAAAGATTACCAATTCGAGTGGAGAAAAAATGATATAAAATACTTAGGCCTGACGTTCACTAGGAAGTCCTCTGACATGTTCCCTACCAATTACACCAGAGTCTGAACTGAATGCTTGGCTCTGTTACGGGGATGGGGCAAACTGTTCCTTACTTGGACGGAGCGCATTGTCGCAATTAAAATGACCGTATTACCGAAACTACAATATGTGTTTAGGAACCTACCCTTGAAAGTTCCACAATCCTATTTTAAAACCATACAGTCTACGCTCCTCCAATTTATATGGGGCAAGGGACGGGCAAGGGTCTCTAACAAACTATTGTCGGCCCCCATAGGGCATGGAGGTATGGCATTCCCGAATGTAAAACACTACTACCAGGCTGCGGTCCTAGCGCCCCTAATGAACCACCTAGCTAAAGATAACCGACCACAATGGGTAACCCTAGAAAACCTAGCTATTAAACCCTTCCTAGTCACCAACCTGCTATGGCTACCTAACAAGAGCAGACCAACCATCCCGCTGATACCCCTACAACTTCAACTAGCACTGCAAACTTGGGACTTACACAGAACGAAGTTCGAAACGGCCCACCCCCTCTCAATGGCGACGCCCATCGAGGCCATCACGTACTGCATCCCCACCTTTCATGCCACCCCATGGAAAGAGAAAGGTATCTCTTTCCTGTCCCAAGCCTATGACCCAGGTGGACTGATGAGCTTCGAGCGTCTCAATAGAACCTACAATATCCCACACACATCACAATACTCATACATCCAACTTAAATCCTTCTTGCACAAACTTAACAAGGATAACAAAGTAGAATCTAATAAACTGGGAGAACCCTCAACCTGGGAACAAATAGGTATCACGGGTAAAATTCCTCCACTTTATAAGCCACTCTCCAATTGCTATAAACTAATTCTGCCATACCAGTCCCTATCTGGCTCCACACAGGCAAGCCAATGGGAAATGGACCTTCAGACCTCCATCACTGACAATCAGTGGAAAACTCTCACATCCTCCGTTAGAAAGCTGGTCAAATCTGCCTCCCTCATGGAGCAATACCAGAAAACAATATACAGGTGGTATATGGTGCCGCTTCGCCTACATAAACTGTATCCCCACTCGTCTTCGACGTGTTGGAGATGCAAACAAGAGGCGGGGTCAGTCCTTCACATATGGTGGCGTTGCCCACGATTAATTAGGTACTGGGGTGATGTCCAAAAACTCATTGCTGACACCACAAAAGTCAAACTATCTCTTGAACCCATGACCTTTTTGCTACTGGACGTCCCTAGGGAAGTACCCAAACAGTCGAGGAAACTAATATACCATATACTGCTGACCGCACAAAAACTAATAGCTAGATCCTGGAAAACAAATGGGGCCCCCCATATCCCAAACCTTATTCAGGATATAGATAACCAGGCAATTTATGAAACAAGTTTTTCCGGGACGCGTTCTGGATCAGGCCGCCTTGGAGAAGCTTGGGACCAATGGCGCACCTGGAGAACGGCTAACCCACAACGCATAGTATAGCAGCACGTTGTAGCGACCCAAGAGCAAACTGCAGGGCTAGGACAGTCAGGCAGTGAGGAACTAAGAGACAGACAGAATAGCATAAATTGTGGCTGGAATAGGGGCTAGCTGGGCGACTACCACGGAGAGGACCCGGACTATTGTGTAACTATTGTGTAACTTGTGTAACTATTGTGTAAAAATGAATTAACGTACGCAACTGTAAGCAATGTAACTGTGTAAGAACTGTAACTGTGTAAACAATGTAAATGCATACCCATCGCTAAACATGTGACCCATTGTATCGTGACTGTACTCCCCCCCTCCATTCCTCCTCCTTCTTTTTTCTGTACCCTCTCCCCTTCCCCCCGCCCATTTACACTTGTGGAAAACCAATAAACAACAAATTTTAAAAAAAAAATTAAAAAGCCACAGGTGTGGGAAATTGAAGATTATGCTAGCGCAGTGTACTAATAATCTTAATTTTAATAATGACAGGAGGCAAATATTTTGCATTAACTTTCTTTACTAACTCCATAGCAGCAAAGAAAAAACTGTTTAAAGAAAGAACCAATCAGAGTGAGTCAGAGTGTATATCAGTCCAAGCATAGCCAATCATTTCCTTTTGACTAATGCGACATCACAAGATCATAGTATGACAAAACGTGTCCCGAGTCAACTTGAATCAACTAGTCCATCGTGGAAACTTCATTATCAAATCCAGTCTTCTTCATTAAACATAAGACTTGTTAACTGATGTAGCGGAGAGGTAGTATAACCCACGATATCTCCGCTGGGTAACAGGAACAACAAAGGGGAATCCAGAGAATCAGCATACAATAATCCAAACGGCACTGCAGTAACCCTTCCTTCCCAAGAACTAGACGACACATAGGCTGGGAGTCAACTGAGGTCTTTTAATTCAGCTCCACAATTTATACAAGTCCCCATGCAAGGGGTTTCCTGAGTCCCCTCCCAGGGGCATTCCCAGAGGGGACTACATGGGGGACTTATTGTACAGGACATTTCTCCCATCAGGCACTGCTGCACGAGAGGGATCCTCCCCCAGGAATGTACCGTTAAGTGGATTATCCCTCCGTGCAGCAGAACTTACAATTCGCATTAAATTGCATAACTTTATGAATATCTGGTCCATTTAAACGAATGGACATTCGGTAGATAGCTGGGGTCTGAGCGTATCATTCGTGAGATTACTGCTCAGATCCCAGCTAAAACAACCGAACGCCGCACGAAAAACACATTCATTAAAACATAGCTTCAAAATACCGATTGTATATAAGGGAACAGAATACTGAACGTCCCGGACCTCCCGAACGGCCTGGAAGCTCAGCGGTGTTCGTGCCGTCGAGTAGCCAAACACTGCTAAGGGAACAAAGGATCCAAGATGGCCGACCGCCGCATGGTCGGTAGTCGAACGACGGCCACCTTGGAGAGCCTCTAATTACCGATTGCAACATTGTTGCAATCAGTTAATAGGCGCCACACGCCTCTAAGTGTGTGGGCTATTAACTGATGGTTTGTTCGGTTCCAGAACGGCCCGCAAAGGTGCCGTTCGTGAAACGAAAGGGAATCAGCTATCTGCTTTCGGCAGATAGCCCAGGTAGGAAATACAGCATTACCATTACATTACATTACACGCTGGAACACATAACATGAAAACCATACTGGCAACCCTTAAAGAGACAGTACATAAATAATGTCCAAGTGGCTAGGTTTGCCACAACTGACTTCGATATATTCCATATGTAACGGATCACCTGGCACCCCGACTGAGTACCTCCGTTGAAAGATGCTCCTAGCGCTTCCAGAGGACTCCAAGCACTCCACCAGACACCATAAGCACCGCAGGCTGCAGCTATCTCCCTTCAGAACGAAGCAGGAACAAGCTCTTACAAGAGCTCAGTGATTATAGCAAGGGAATATGCCTAGCATAGCAATCCCTTGTAGCAGATTCCCCCAATAAGAGACAGGACTCAAGTTGAGGGTAAAAATAGAACTCTCTGGCTGCTAGCTTGCAGCCCTTTTTATTAGGTGCTCCCATGAAGGGGAGGGACACACACAGTAACGTACATTAACCAATCACACAATAGTTACATCCCACACATAGCCCTCCCCTCTACCTGTAAACTAATTATCTGTACACACAGGGAAATACAATTATCATAGGTAGGGAAAATACAGTTTTTACACAACATTCATAACTCCCAAAATATACATCACATTCGCATAAAAATACATATTCACAATCAATCCATTCAGGGGAACAACATATTAAAAAATGGCATGAATCAGACCAGGGGTTCAAAAGTTAGTAAAAGTATCTTTTGTTCCCCCTGGCTCAAACAGTAAAAGTAAAACATCCCCACAATGCATCCTGGCTTCCTCCCTTCTGCCCTGGAGATAATTGGAGAAGGAATCTAATTATCTCCAAAGACAGAGCCAAACTCCATTACCCACATGGCAGACAAAAAGACAGTAAAAGACATAAAATTACATACTGACACATTTAGTACATAAAACACACATTTCTACATATCCCCAGATAGCTTGGATCTGACTGCACATTATTAGATGAATGGCACTCAGATCACACGAATAAGCCTTTCTGCAGGGAAAATAAACAGTTTAACCTGCAGGGCCATAGTCCAAAGGCAAGAGACGGGCAAGCAGCCCCCTCCAAGGACACGTGGCGAGGTCGGTTTTGCCACACCATAGCCTTGTTAAGCTGAAAAGAAAAGGAGACTAGTATCAGTGTTACGGAACAGACCGTATGAAGCGAATGCTTATGTGTATGCTGATAATTTTAAACAATTAACTTGGTTATGCATAAGTGTATCATGCTAATCCACTTCACATTGCTTAGGAAAAACAGAAATATTGATTACCGTAAAACATTGCACGATATAAATATAGATACTAGCTTCAAGTTTGTCCCCATAAAACCTACTTCCCTTACTCGGGTGGGAACGGCAAGATGAAGGGAGGGAAAATATTCGCCTCCTGTCATTATTAAAATTAAGATTATTAGCACACTGCGCTAGCATAATCTTCAATTTTATAACATGACAGGAGGCTTCATATTTTGCATTTTTAACGCTTAGGTAGAAGGGCGAATGCGGCATTGGACAACGGACGGAAATGGAATGTCTGAAACGTCGATTCACGCGAGTCAGCAGTTTGCAGGATGTCTGATAGAGATGCGCTTGCCAAAAAAGCGGCTGATGCCGCCGCCCCTCGCACGTAGTGTGCGCCAAAGGATGAGTCTATGCCGGCTAGGGAAAGAAGCCATTTGATGCATCTGGCTAAAGTGGTGACCGAAAACGGACCATGGGGGCTAACATATGATATCAATAGTTGTCTTGCTGTTGGTGGGCGTAGTGTTTCTGTTGCCGCCACATATGCCCGCAGAGTCTTAACCACGCACAGTTGAGGGTCCGAGGTGAAAAATGGATAAAACACCGATGACGAGTCCGATTTGGTCCTCCGTGAAACATGGAATGTGACTCCCTTTTCGGATTTATAGAAAATGCGTCTTTGTCGAACGCCTGGACATCCGATACCCTCCGGAATGAGACCATGCACAATAGGAAGGTGAATTTTGCTGTTAGTTTTTTTAAAGATAATAGTTCGTTAGGGGGCCATCCCCTTAGGAAACTGGGTACCACATTTACATCCCATAGATGTTGATATTTTGGTGCTGGGGGTCGTCTCAGTTTGATGCCCCGTAACAGTCAACAGATCAGGGGATCTTGTCCAACCGGTCTTCCTTGGGACGGTATGTGGGCTGCTGAGATGGCGGATCTGATAACGTTGATGGTGCAATACGATTTTCCTTTCTCGAATATCTTCGATAGGAAATTCATGATATCAGACACAAGGGGCTGTAAAGGGAACCAGGTTCCGTCCCATGCACCAACCGGTCCAAGATTGCCATGCCGATAAGTAACTCTTTCGTGTTCCAGGAGCCCAGGAGTCCCATAAGACATCCTTAGTCGTTGTCGATAGGTTTCAGGTACACCATGCTCCCCTGAAAGATTCCAGGCTATCAGGGAGAGGCGTCCGTCTAGGAGCATCGGGTGTGGGTTCCCCATTGTGTTTCTGAGTAGGTTGTAATCGCTCGGTAGTAGAATCGGGTCCTGGCAAGCCAGTTCGAGCAGGTCAGGGAACCAGGGTTGGCTCGGCCAGTTGGGTGTCAGGAGAGTTAATCTCACTACCCATCGCCGAATGTGGTGGAGAACCCTCGCGATCATGGCGAAGTGGGGAAAAGCGTAAGCTCCTTGTGGTGGCCATTTTTGGGTGAAAGCGTCGACCGCTAGGCATTCTGGGTCTGGGAGCAAGCTGTAAAATTGTGGCACTTGGTGGTTGTTGCGTGAGGCAAATAGGTCCAGTATGAAGGGCCCCATCTGTTCGTTCAGGAGGGCAAATATCTGCGGGTCCAGTTGCCAATCGCTGACGTCTCTCCAGTGTCGGGAGTACCAATCTGCCGTAAGATTCGACTCCCCCGGTAGGTATTCTGCTTGTATTGTGATGTTGCGCGGGAGACAGTAATCGAAGATTTCCATCGTTAGATCCACTAGTGTTTGGGAGCGTGTACCTCCAAAGTGGTTGATTTATTGCACTGCAATATGTTGTCCATCCGAAGAAGTATACAACAATTAGATTGTCCTTTTGTCAGACTGCGTATAGCAAATGACCCCGCTAGCAGTTCCAGACAGATGATGTGCATTGAGAGTTCTTGGGTTGTCCATGTTCCTCCCGACGATGCTTCCCCATCCATGGCACCCCATCCCAATCGGCTGGTGTCCGATTCCAGCACGAAGTCCGGGTGGGTGCCGAAGATGGCTCGACCGTTCCAAGCCGGTAGTGCAGAGGGCCTGGAAATATGGCTTATATCGATGAGGACAGTAGGCCAACAATCCGTGCTAGTTGTC